CCACAGGGAGCCGAGCCCCAGAGAACAGCTGGACGGAGTCACGCGGGAGGAATGTGTCTCCCATGACAATGTTTACATTAACGCCCCAGCTCGTCAGGCCGGCAGGTGACCGAGGCAGACCTGGACCGGGGCCCCCAGGACACCAGCACCGGCCATACCCCGCCCCCCAGCCTGAGCCCAGAACACGTTCATGGCCAGTCTGGCCCCACTGCCGGCACCTGTGTGGTCCAGGCTGACTAGCAGCTCCTCAGGAGGAAGGAAGCCGTGGTCACTGGCCGCTGCCTGCCCTGCAGCCCACCTGTCCCCTGCCTGCACATCGGCCTTCTGATCCCTGAGGCTGGATTTCCTGCCAACACCACCTCCAAGCAGACTCTTCCAGGTCATAAGTGGGTCCTCACATCAGTGCCAAGCAGCCCCCTGGTTGGGTGGGTGGACACACGCGTGCGGGGAAGGACGTGTGGGTGAACAGGTGTGTGGGAAGATGACGGACGGATGGATGGAGGATGAATGAATAAGAGGATAGGAGAAATAGACGGAAGGATGAATAGCAGGAGAGGAGGAGGGCGAGAGAGCGGGTACACGGCAGACGCATGGGAGGAAAAACGAGGATGTGGAAGCGGGCAGAGATGGAGGGTGAGGAGTGGACAGTGCAACGGGACAGTGGTGCCGGTGCTCAGTGGATGGCGTGCAGAGAACCCTGTGAGATCCCGAGCTCCAGATCCACAGGGCAGAGTCAGTCCAAGGCCACAGAACTCTGTCTCAAGCAGGGCTTGTTCTTAAAGCTACAGACAGTGACGATCCTAGGGTCCTCCCAGAAAGCAGCAGGGTCCAGCCTGGGCTGGGAGCGCCCCGCAGTCCCCCGTCCTTCCCAAGCCACCCGCAGGCTCCGGCCGGGTAGGGACAGCACCCACCTCTGTGCAGCGCAGCCCCAGGCTCTGAAGGCCGGCGGACCTCGGGCACGATGAGGGGGGCCCCGCCCTCACCAGTCCAAGGCCACAGAACTCTGTCTCCAGCAGGGCTTGTTCTTAAAGCTACAGGCAGTGACGATCCTAGGGTCCTCCCAGAAAGCAGCAGGGTCCAGCCTGGGCTGGGAGCACCCCGTGGTCCCCCGTCCTTCCCAAGCCACCCGCAGGCTCCGGCCGGGGAGGGACAGCACCCACCTCTGTGCAGCGCAGCCCCAGGCTCTGGAGGCCGGCGGACCTCGGGCACGATGAGGGGGTCCCCGCCCTCGCAGCAGGACAGCATGACGTGGTTGCAGGGGTAGCCCAGGTTGGGGTTGGACTCACACGATTGACCCTCAGCCCGCACGCGGAGCCCCAGGCCACAGCAGTCGCAGCATTGCTGGAGGGAGACGCGGCCATCAGCAGCGCTAGCGCCTCGGAGCAGAGTTTTCAGTAGTTTGTTTTGTCTGGTTCGATGCTGGGGATTGAACTGAAGGCCTTCACACTGAGCTACACACATCCTAGGCCTTTTTGTCTTTTACTTGGAGGAAGGGCCTTGCTAATTTACTAAACTGCCCAGGCGGGCCTTAAATTTGCAATCATCCTGCCTCAGTCTCTCAGAGTGCTGGGATTACAGGCGTGTGACACTGTGCCTAGCTCTCAGGACAGCTCTTGACTGGAACTCACCCTACTTGGAAATGTATCTATTGTGCTTTTCCCCTTCCTCCTTCTTGGAGCACATATGTGATAGCTGGAGTTTTACAGACATCAGGGCCACGAAGTATCACTGAAGGGGGTTAAAAAGCAAAGGAGAAACCTGGGTCCCTAAAGTTGCTGTACAGATCTACCCCATCTCAGGCTGCATATTTCCAAAGCAAAGTAGGTTCCATTTCTTTTAGCGATGGTGGTAGATCGCCCCAGGTGTTCCCTCCTCCTGTGTCCACTTCTCCGCAATATGCTATTCAGCTCCCCTTACTACGGCAGTAGCTGTGCCTGAGGACTTCGGCCAGCAGGGTGAGGGCAGCGTGCACCTCCAGCTACAAGTGGGTCTGGGTCTCCAAAGCCCTGAGTCGCAAAGGTTCAATCCTCGGCTTGGGCTACTAGAGGGGGGCAGAACTTTGAAAGGTGGGGCCTGGTGAGAGGTTTCGGGTCACTTATGCTAGATGCTCTGTCACAGTGCCAGAAAGCTGACCACCACACATGCTTTCATTCCCTTCCTTAGAATCCCACTCACCTACTGCCTGACCAGACCTAAGGCAGCCTGCAGGGTTGGACAGATTTCACCACTATCCAGGCTCTGGACCCATGGGCTTCTTCAACTCATCCCCTTCCACCCATCAGGACCAGGCCCCTTCTTCAAGGTCTCCAGAACGCTTCCCAGACTGTCTGCTCTCACCTCTGATGCAGAGACAGCTCACTGTCTCTATTTTACTTCTTGGTTTTCAGTGTGCTGCTGTCTTCCTCAGAATAAAGACTACATTTCCCAGCTTCCCTTGTAGTTGGATGTGGCCACATGACAAAGTTTTAGCCAATGAGATCTAAGCAGAGGCTTTTTTTACTCCCCGTAAAAAGGGGCTCTTCTATCTGGGTGTGGTGGCCCTTGCCTGCAATCCCAGTGCTCTGGAAGGATTACAAGTTTGAGATCAGCCTGGGCAATTTAGCAAGACCAGGTCTCATAATTTTTAAAAGGGTTGGGGATGTAGTGCAGTGTGAAGGCCCTGGGTGCAAGTCCCAACCACTAGGAGACTAGGAAAGGAATTCTGACGTGTGACAACACAAATGAATCTTGAGGACATTATGCTAAGTACAGTAACCAGTCACAAAAAGACAACACTGGTGAGTCCATTTCTTGAGGTCCCTAGAGTGGCCCAATCCACGGAGAGGGAAAGGGGGGGTGTGGGTGCCAGGGCTGGAGGAGGGTTAGAGTGGCAGGGGACAGAGTTTCGTTTGCGAAGATGGACAGAGCTGGATGGTGTGATGGTCACACAATGACACACATGAACTTGGTGTCTCTGGAGGGCATGCTTCCGGATGCCGGGATTGATTTTATGTCACACGCATTTGACCACAACAAAAAGGAACTGAGGAGACCAGAGTCCCCCACCCTCCCCTGCCTCTGCCTGGAGGGTGCACAGCCATCCTGGATGGTGAGGTCCCTGTCCTGCCCACCTCTAGCCCCTGCGTGAGAGAGGACACCAGGGTTCTGCGGATCTCCCTGCACCTGCAACTGAACTGATGTCTTGAGGCCACACGAGCTCCAGCGCAAGCCACTTCCCTCTGCAAAGTCCCTACTGGGCTGAGACCTTGGTGTGGCAAGACCCCCAGAGCCTGTCCTCCACACCCCCTGCAGCACACCTCACTCCCTACCTCTGTCAGCTCACGCTGCTTCCTCTTCCTGATCCCACCCCACTACTGTGCAGGAGGAGGCCCCTTAAAGACCGGTCCCCACAATGCCAGGGAGGACCCAGATTACATTCTTCAAACTCTTCCTGGTACCCGATCCCTCCCTCAGGCCAGCCACGGTCCTGCCAGTGATGCATAAGACCTGAGCGCCTGTGGCTCCGAACCTGGGCCGTGATAAATGCACTCTGACCTCAGGATCTTTGCACACACTGTACCATCTTTCTGGTTGGAATGTATCCTAGATGTCTGCACTACTCGCCCCCACCTCCTCCAGGCTTTTACATGAGGATCCCCTACTTGGCGTGGTTGTGGCCAGCTGCTACCACTGTGAAATTTCAGCACACCTGTGTCATGTCACTGCCTATGGCCTCCTCTCCCCAGCTGCTCCTCTGTGACACCATCGCCTCCTGACACAACACACGTGACTGTGTTCCGCCCTGCTGTCCCGATGAGGACATCCACAGAGCAGAGCCTGTCTCCAGGGGTTTTCTGCTGGGTCCCCAGTGCCTGGGACGGTGCCTTGCACGTGCCAGGTCACAGGCAGCTGATGGTGTCTTCTGTGCAGGTGCAGGAGCCCTGTGGGGAGACCCCCACTGCACAGAGAGCCACTTGCCTTGTACAGGGACCCACTGCAGGTGTTGTTGTCCTCGGGCCCGCAGGCCTCGCCCTCCTTGGCTCCCAGCACACCAGCCATGCAGCTCTTCTCCTCTAGGTAGGACACGCAGCAGTGTCTCTGTGCTGTCCTGCAATGGGAGGGCATCAGCACAGGCGCCCCAGGAGGACGGCCCCGCCAGAGGACAGGCAGCACAGGCTGCCCGAGGCACTGCACGGCGGACAGTGTGGGCGGCAGGGCAGCGCCAATCCCACCAGGCCGCGTGCGTTTGTTTCTTGGTTTATGGAAGGAGACTCGGAGCTGTGGGTCCCTGACAGCCAGCGGAGCGGCTGCCCTTCCCCTTCAGCGCCCTCTGCTGGAACCCACTGGCACAGGGAGACCCAGGCCCAGAAAGGCCTTCATGCAGGGTCCTGGAGCAACAAGCCAGGCCAGGCCTACGGGAGACACGCGCAGCACCTGAGGTGGGGCATATCCTGGGGACGGTTATTCGGCGATGGAAGGTGGTGAGCTCCCCGTCACAAGAGTGACACAAGCGTACACCATGGCCCCAACTCCGGGGTCCGAATGGCGGATGCTCCCACTCCTCCTCAGTGCCCCCAGCCAACGGGAAGGGAGACAGGGGTGAGTCAGGATTGAAATTTCCCTGAAGAAGGCAGCGTAGGCCCGGCACGGAGAACACGGAGTCTGATTCTCCGGGCGAGTCACACGGCCTCTTGTCTGGAGAGACGAGGGGTGAGGGGCTCCCCGAGATGTCCCTGTGGTGTCTCACCTGCACACGTCACCCTCAGCGCCGCTCTCGGGCATCTCCGCACACTCGTCATTGTCGATGGCCCACTGCTGCCCCACTGCACAGCAGGATTCCATCAGGTCCTTGGTGGAGCCTGTGGGTGTGGCAGGGGCAGAGGAGGCCGTGGCCCAGGGGCCACCCCGCACTGGCAGGTGAACCCCACCCACCAGGCACTCAGCTGGCGGACTCAGGGGACTGCCTCGCAGGCCCACGCACATCCTGAGCTCCTGGGGACCAGGGCCCGGCCCCTGCAGCTCCACCCCACTCCCAAGGGCTGTCCCCAGCGGGACGCTCTGACCCCGGCTTTGCTTCTAAGGAGCCTGATTCGGGTCACCAAAGCGGGGCCGGAGATAAGAAAGCAGCAGCGGTAGGCAGGTGTGCGGCACACCTGGAAGGTCAGCGAGCGATTCAGGAGGCCGAGGCAGGAGAATCACATGTTTGAGACCAATGTGGGCAGCTCAACGAGGCCTCGTCTCAAACCAAAAACATAAAATAAAGGGCTGGGGAGGCAGCCCAGTGTGATGGCCCTGGGTTCAATCCCCAGTACCAATGAAGGAACGAAAGAAACCAGGAGGAAGGGAGGAAGGGGGAGAGGGGGAGAGGAAGAGAGAGAGGGGGAAGAGCATTAGCAGCAATGGACACCCCAACTTAGCAAGGAAATCTAACGGAAGATCGTTAACGGCAAGTGTGCTGTGACTGAGGAGGGCAGGAGGAGTCGGAGGGAGAGAACCTCTTAAAACTCAGATTGCTGGTGGCAGAGAGCTCGCCTAGCTTGTGCAATGCCTAAACAGCCCAAGAGAATGACAACTTGAAATGAGTTTAAAATGATGCTAGTGAACAATTGTTACTGTAACACAATGGCCAAAAATAAAACCAGCATACTCAAATTAGTGGCTTTCTTGTATACCAGAAACAATTAAGTAGGAAAATACCATTTACAAAGTACACAAACCTAGAAATAAGCCAACGGTAAAGATGTTTGACCTATGAAGAAAAAATATTTGTCTAATGGGTATGACAGGAGGCCTTGCTCTAAATACAAACCATGTACCTGCATAAGAGATTCAAAGATGTCAGTTCTCCTAGACTTAATCGACAGCGGTAAAGCAATTCTCATCGCAGCCCCAGAGTAAATAATCACCAAACTTGTTGAGATGATTCTAACATTCAAGCAAAAAGTGAAGAAATGATTAAGAACATCCAAGAAAACTATACCCCCCCAAAAGGGCAGGCCTTTCTCTAGTAGTATAAAAAATAGGCTTTAAAGTTCTAAGCATTTTAATGTTTTTTTAAAACAAAAGAGACAAGTGTGATGGTGGGCACCTGTAATCCCAACACTCAAGAGGCTGAGGCAGGAGGATCACTGTGAGTTCAAAGCCAGCCTGAAATACATGGCAAAACCCTGTCTCAAAAAAAAAAAAAAAAATCCAGGGACCAGAATCAGGGACCAAAATCAGGTTCGGAGACAGAACTAGCCGACATGGTTACTGAGTTATGAAGAAGGTGGCCTCCGAGCACAGCAGGAGCAGTGTGATGCTCTGAAACTTAACCGTTCCCGGAAAGCCATGTGTTGCAGCTTGGTGTCCAGCCAGTGGCATCCTGGGAGGTTGTGGGACGTTTAAGTGTTGGGGCCTGGCAACAGGAAGTGAAGCCGTGGGGACGTGTCCTCAAAGGGGATACACACACACACACACACACACACACACACGCACGGTCCTCCTGGTCACGCTCACATCCCAGTGACCCAGGTACACAAGGTGGCACAGACACCCTCAACCTGCCACACGGGGTCCTGGATGCCAGGCAGAGCCCTGCCTTCCCCTGCTGCTGCCAGAGTCAGGCCTGAGTCTCCCTGGCTGCTGAGAGCGACACCACCATGAGCACCGACTCTCTGCTTGGTACTGGGTACAAATACTTCTGGGGATGGGAGCTCACCCTGCGCACACGGCTGTTCCTGTGCTTGAAGCTCCCACTCAAGGTTTCCTCTCTCACAAGCCCCAGATCCTCCCTTGGGATCTGCCATGGCTGCCTTAAAATGGTGAGCTGACAAGAGGTCCTGGGTCCTGGCCAGATGACACGTGGTGAGCGTCCAAGCCAAGTAACGGTGGCTGCTGAAGATGGACTGGGTCCTGGAGACGGGCCAGGCACAGGTCCAGCATTACCAAGAGTCTGTTATGACTCCTGTTTGATAGAGGATGTGGGGAATTCAAGTCCCAAGTCTCAGTTTTCCACTTCCCCTCTCTGTTCCAGGACTCAGCACCCCACATCGGTGGCCTGGGCAACTTGATGCAGCCATTCCTAAAGGTCCCCTCAGTGCATCTCACCATCAGCAACCCAAGACACGGCTTTGCTGTTGAGTTGAGACCTCTTCCTGCTTCCCAACCTGGCTCAGAGGCAGACTTCCTGTCATTCTCTGCTGGCCTTTCCCATCATCACCTCCCTCATTTCTAAACAAAGGAACGCGGGCTAAGACTCCTGAACCAGGAGGGCCACCCACTCGGAGCAAGAGTGGGGACTAGTATGAGGCCACCTATGGAGTTGCCAGGTACTGCCCCAGACGTGGGAGGCAGCGTCTCCAAAGCCCTCAGTCTTCCAGTACCAAGAACCCGCCGGGACAGCTCCAGGTGGCTGCAGACAGCCACTCCCCGCACCCTCAGGTCCTCAAGGCCAGATCTCCTACCCATCCCACAAAGCCGCTTCCAAGTGCACCCCAGGCCCCCCTCCCGGGCCTCTGCTCCAGCTCCTGCCCTCCAGGCCCCGCTGGCTGATCCACCTCAGGCAGTGGTTTTACAGACAGCTGAGCCACGCAGAGATACTCCAAGCTGACAGGCAGGGCTGGGCCCTCCAGGGAGTCAGGGCAGAGGGGAAAACACACCACAACTGTGGCGGAGGTCCAGGCCTGCACACCTCCCCAAGGGACAAGACGAGCGGCAACACCTGGTCTAATAAAGTCCAGAGAGGCATCAGTCACCCCGATGGGTGACCAAGACCTCTGGGGCTGCCTCTTCTAAAGAAGGTCCTTGCTCTTTCCCTGTGCGCTTGCCACATGACCTGCTTCCCCACTGGATCAGGGTCACCTAAGCAGCCGTACTTGTCACCTTACCAGTTGACCAGTTTTGTCCCACATTATACCCACCTTGTGATTTTGCTCTATAAAACTTACCCTGGGAAGTGGGGTCCCCAGAAACCCACTCAGGCCCCCTCCTGTCTCTCTCAGGAGCTATATCCCTCCCCCTCAATAAATATTTCCTACTCTTAACCTCTACTGTTCCTTAGAGTTAATTGATTTTGAGGAGCAGGAACATAGCATATGTGATAACTAGGAGGTTGGGGGTTCTATTATTTCCCCTGTATCAGTGGGACCCCACGACTACCCCACCTTGTCTCCTTTCTCCAGCCTCTGTCTCTCAGCCTCACCATTTACTCCTTGAACTCTTCCGGTCTGTTCCTGTCCCAGGGCCTTTGCACAGGCCACAATGTGTAGAATCCTCCACTCCTCGCTGTGCCCTGCCCCATCTGCCTTCATCTCCCAGGTGGCTCCTCTTTTCTGGGGTGTTGCCTCCTCAAAGAGAGGCTCCCTGACCTCTGTCTCTGAACTGACATCCACCCAACCTCAGCACAACACACTAGCTAGTCTCTTGAGTCACGCCCTGGCCTCGGACATCCTTCCTCATCTAGGGGCTCCACAGATCCCACTCGGAAGGCAATAGGGGACAAAGTGTGACAAAGAGGGACTTCGTGCCCTGCTGTCACCCCTTCACCATGGCCAGCAGCCACCCAGAGAAGAGCTTCCTCTGCACGTCCCTCCTGATCCCTTCACGATATCCCTGCCAGGAGACACGCTGTCCCAGCCACTAGCCTAGCAGGGCTCAGGTGCCAAGAACCAGTCACAGCACCTCAGGGTCCCTGGAGGGCAGCAAAGGGCACAGCAACGGGAGCGCCAGGAGGTCAGGGTGGATGGCATGCGTGGCTCCGTCTCACTGTCTGCCCCGTCACAAGGCTCCCCACGTGTGAAAGGGGGAGGCTCCCAGGGCCCAACCTCAGGAAAACACCTGGAAGACCCAGGCCCTCGCCTGCCCACCCCTCACCCACCTGCAGGTGGCGCTTTCCGCCCAGGAGTCACCTTCCCCTCAGCGCTCCCTGCGGCAGGACCTGGGGGAAAGTCCGCTGTCCCCCGAGCCTCCCAGCCTCCCCTTGGTCCAGGGTGAGGCTGGACTCCTCAGGGACCTCGCTCTCCCCTCCCTGAGGGGACCCAGTGCCCCAGGGCAGCGATGTCACCTGCAGATACAGGACAGGTGGGCCCCATGGTCTCCAGGCCCTCACCGCAGCCCTGCACTGGAAAGCGCCCAAGTGCCCATTGGCAGGGGAAGGGTCCCCCAGCACGGGCCAGATCCCCACACCAACAATGTGCCCACATGGGTGACACACCCACGTCACACAGGTGCGCTGGGGGCAGACGCAGGTACCGGGAACACTGGGCACTGCCTTCGTGAAGTTTGAAAACAAGAGTGAGACAAGAGAGTCTTCGGGTGGCAAAATGCTTAGAAAACTCTGACTGGACACAAAGACCAAGGCCATCTGGAGAAGGGACCCAGCTCAGGAAAAGTAGCCAGACGCACGGCACACAGGCGGCAGAGCTCTCCAGAGGGCCTGGAACGGCGGGGGCTCTGGTGGGCGGGGACAGCTTCAGTCTGTGCAGCCACTGTCCAGGTGCTTAAGGACACAGAGCTACACGCCCAGTCCCTGTAAACGTCCTGTGTGTGGTGACTTTAAACTGCACTGCACTGCAAGGAGAAACCCGTGCCCTGCCCTTCCTCCTCCGGGAACCCGCCCTGCTGGGAGACGCCCCCCGCCACACCCCGGCACACACAGGCTGCCCTGTGCCTGCTGCCCTCTGCCAGCAGGGGCTCGGGACGCAGCCTCCATGCCAGAGACTACATAATCCACGTGAGATCCACCCGATTCATGCAGGTGTCACAGGAGATGCACTGAAACGAACCAGTCCAAGCTGAAGAGTACACAGGGAGCCGTTTCTCTCCTGAGAGGGACACGCAAGGGCCTATCACAGCCGCCGTCCTGCAGAGGCCCAGCCCT